TAGCTAGACTCAGATGAACGTCTACCATCAGCGGGTGATTCCAATCCCTAAAAAAAGGTATTAAAATAATAATCTTTAAAATAATACTCATAAAATTTAACTTTAAATGCGTCAAAATAATATACCTGTCTTCCACTAAAATTCTGCATTTGCATTAAGAGTTCAATTTCCTTTGTCCTCGCCTTGTCCCTTTGCGTTAAAAATATGATTGCCTGTGTTAATTCATCAATTTTTGAATTCTTTTCTTTAAGTGCATTAATTTCTTCTTGCATTTCCTTTATTTGTTCACTTTCTGCAGAAGAAGATGTCGATCTCGTAGATCTATTAATTTGAGATGGTGTAACTCCAAGTCCCATACTACGAACATATCCATGCTTTTCTTTTCCAAATACTTTCTGAAATGCCTCATTTTCAGACACAGAATCCTTAATTGTAGCTTGTAATTTTTTCTGCACATGAAAAAGAAAAAATTGAGCTATTGTTTATATAACAAGAATAATATATTGGGGGAGAACCTCTTGATCAAATCATGGACTTCCATATATACGTAAAAAGAAGTTGGCACAAACTAGGAGGTGGCACAAACTATTGCAATTGGACTTGAATAATACTGTTGGTATATAATTTTGACATTTTTGCCATGAATAATAAGAAAGCAGTACATTGAGCAATGGTAAGGATTGTTATTCATTATTATTTTGAGTCTCGATCCCCTGCCCCTCCTCAAAAAAATCCCTTTATAATATGTATTAAGTGTAGTAGTACTGATGCTTTCAACTTGTGCAGGAGGGATTGTTGCTTTGTATTCTCACCTTTGCAAAAATGCAAAATTTTGTTTGCTTCCTAATCATCAAACATCTGATGAGGAGCTATCTACATATCGCAAGCCTGGTTACTCAAATAGAAATATACCACCCTCATATTTGAAAAAATTCATTGAAAAACATAATAGCACAAATGAATGAGTTAATATATCAACTAAGACAATAAAAAAGAAGATATGGATACCTTAGGTTTTAGAAAAAGAATATTATGTTCACTATCTATGACTTTTGTCATGTCCTATTACCTACACTATCTCTCCTGTTATACTCCAAACTCCCTGTCTGGTTCATGGATTGTTTCAAAGAAAAAATCATGGTGTATTGGGTAGGTTCTGCTATGTGACATGGAGAATTGTTTACAAGAAGTTCAGTAAAGCTTGCTATCCACCATTCTTCAGTATAAACAAAATCACTCTAGGATATTTATTCTGAAATTTCCCACTAAAGTTACCCCACAGTTTTCAATGTTTCAAATATATGTCAAATGCAGCATAGGTGATTTTTCCATTACAACTTACGCTTCTAATCTATGCAGGTATGATTCCTCTTATTTCCTGTGTTCTACTGGTTGGTCTCTTTATTTTGAAACACCGTGGCTCCCACGCGATTGCTTTCATGTTTCCTCCCATAATCATCCTATGGTTACTATCTATTTTCACGATTGGCATTTACAATGTCATCAAGTGGAATCCAAGCATATATCGGGCTCTTTCTCCATATTATATATATAAATTCTTTTGGGTTACAGGAAAAGGTGGTTGGACTAATCTTGGAGGGGTATTTTTGTGTGTAACAGGTCTGTATCTTTTTAAAATTCCATCTCCTACTTGTGTGTCATTTTTACAAATACTTAATGTTTTTTTGCATAACTTCAGGAAGTGAAGCTATGTTTACAGACCTTGGGTACTACAAACAAGCATCTGTAAGGGTAGGTGCAGTTAATAAGTATTAAGTAGGATTTCAATTTCGTAGTTTAATGGTGAAGTTTCATTTATCAATGTGTACCCTACAAATAGATACCCAAGATTGATTAGCATTATTTGGCTGCCGGTTTCTTTTAGGGTGATGAAGGTTTCATTTTGTCACTCACTCAGTTTGTATACCTAGTTATAATATACTTTTCAGATCTGGACATGTTAGATGTGTCTTTTACATGTGAAAGAATTAAATTGTGGTATGAAACCATTAAAGATATAATCCACCTTCATCCATGATCTAGGCATATAATCGTGATTCCTCAGTTCAAACAGAATGCCTAGTGTTTATTTTATTTTTAAAATGATCGTTTTAACTTTTAGTATTGTATCCTTGTTACCATGCAGGCTGCATTTTCTTGTATCATTTACCCATGTCTAATTCTTCAGTACATGGGGCAGGCTGCTTTTCTTTCAAAGAATTTATGCTTCTATTCCAGGTCAGCTAATATAAATTCTAAGAATAAATTTCTGATAGGTCATGTTGTTAATTTCTGAAAGAAACGTAACAATGTTGTGTGTGAATTTGAAGTATTAGCTTTCGATTCCCTGTACCCCATTTGATTATTATGAACTTATGCCAGTATCAAACCCTATTACATTCAAGTTCTAGCAATGCTCAGCCAATTTATGTGGCTGAGATTTGATAGAAAATTTTAACTTTTGAGGTTTTCTTTTTCCAGTGGTGAGTTATATTTGGGATGGTTCTATTACTATTACCGTTTTTTTTTTCCAGTATTTCAAAAGAATTAACTTGTACTTACATTATTGTTGTATGCATCTTCATTGATAAATGACCTGTTAGGCTTTTTATGAGAAACTGCATACATTTCTCCTCTGCTGTATGTTCGTCCATCTCTCATTTCCTGCAAATAAAAACTAATATAAATTGTTTGTACTATCAAGCAAACGATCAACAACATATAGATTTAGACATACCAACTCATGTTTCTTCCTTGCAAGCGACTTAGATCCGAGTGTATGCGGAGCCTTCAATTTTGCTCTATTTTGGGAATTTTTTTGGGATATTTTCTACATTTGTAACAAATAAAAAATGCATTATAGATAGGGATAACATACAAACCATAGAAATCTAACAAATAAAAACACTAATGTTACCTGTGTTTTTTCTTTCCGCCTATATTGAACATAAACAGCCCAGTCATTTTCAGGAATGCCTCTGCATTTTGGATAATTTTGAATATTTTCCTCCAAAGGGAGATCCCATCTATAAAATTCGTGAAACAATGTATGTCGGGCATCCTTCCATTTCCTTGCAGCAGAAGCAAGTACAAAATCTTTGTCACGCCCATCATCCACAAGAAAATGGCGCTAAACATAAAAATATATTAGTTGACAAAGGAAATAATAATCACCATGAAGTTAATTTAAAAAATATGTAATTGTTTATTAATAATACCTTTATCTTTGATTCATAAAACTTTGTTTTTGTATCTGCTGGAACATTCTTCCAACTCTCAAACATTATGGGAATATCTCTAAACATTCTAATAATTATACCCAAATATCCTGCTAGCAAACCAGAAGCCGGTCCTACTGCACAATCATTCTTATTGAATTCAAGTATTATCCATGTTCCATCAGGCTCTGATTTCGCAACCAAGTCTTTCACACATAAACGTGTGTTTGAAACATAACCTTCCTCGTCTATCACATTAAAAAAGTAAACAAATTAATTTCATAACTCAACTATGTAAAAAATTTAAATTATTTATAGATACTTTAACCTTAAATTACTTACTAATGACATTTACATCCCAATACTCAGATTTAGCCACTTTAACAACATCTCCAGTCCCATCTCCTACCACAACATCTTCAGCCTCATCTCCTACCACAACATCTTCAGCCTCATCTCCTAATACAACATCTTCAGCCTCATCTCCTACCACATCATCTTCAACCTCATCTCCTACCACAACATCTTCAGCCTCATCTCCTAATACAACATCTCCAGTCCCATCTCCTACCACAACACCATCAGCCTCATCTCCTACCATGTCATATTCATCCTCATCTTCTACCACAACATCTTTTGCAATTTGGATTGACGGAGGGGTTATTGTAGTTTCCATTGGTGGAGGGGTTATTGTAGTTTCCATTGGTGGAGGGGTTATTGATGATTTGTGAGTTGTAATTGAACGTAGGCGCTTCTTATTTACTTCAAGCTCTCCAGGTTGTACAAACCTTGAACGGCCCTTCACGAACTAAATAAAATACATTAGTGAATATTAGTAAATAATAAGTACAATTAATTTGTATGGAGTAGTATAGAGAATTTATGACTGACCAGTGATGGTTTGGAAGAAGACTCTGATGATTTGTGAAGGGATTGAGAGAGTGTAGGAAGATTGAGAGCCGCTAACTTTTTCTTATTCTCTGCAATTCTTTTGAGGCGACTATTCTCATATGGTGTAGTCATTGTCTCACAAAAGGCTTCAACTGCAAGTATAGGTATTAAGTACACTAAAAGTAGTAAACATCAAAATTATATATTAGTGAATACAAATTTAATAAACATAACATAATCACAATAAATTAAAAACATAGAGTAACAATGTCATCTAACATATTAATTAGGGATAAGCAACAAAGAACATAGAGTAACAATGGAATATCATACATTAAGTCTCACACAAGTTACAAACAAACTAGATTCTTATCAATAAAAAACTATATGTTAACTATTGTCATCATTTGTCGCTGAAGTTCCAAGATCATCATTTGAAAAGATTTGTTCCAAATTTTGTGATGGATATGGCTCAATGGGTGTCATAATTTCATCATTTCCACCCATGTCATACAAGTCTCTTGGCTTCAAATGAACAGGTATGCTCCATCCTTGTTCACTCTCATCATCTACATAAAAAACCATATGAGCTTCAGATGCTTGAATATATGGCTCATTATCTTCATGTTCACTAGTATGTAGTAGTCTTGCAAAGTTTATAGAGGTAAAACCCAACTTATCTATCTTAATTCCTCTTGGGTTTATGGTATTAGCCCATTCACATTTAAACATGGGCACTGTGAAGCCATCATAGGAAAGCACAATAATATCTATTAATCTTCCATAGTAAGGGACCCCTCCAAATCTCATTTGGGTATCACTATTGCTTGAATAACTTCGTGTCCCAAACATGCCAAAAACTCCACTATTTTGAGTTTTTAAAAGATTGTCTCATTCCAACGTTCGAAACTTGAATCCATTGACATTGAACGCGGTAAATCTTTTAACTTTATCAAAAGGTCCATGAGCAAGACTAATGAGAACATCTTTATCTGGCCCATGAATGTTGTCAAGATTGTTGCGAATCTATACATGATACAACATTCAATTAGTCTTGTTATTATTAAAAACCAATTCAATAAAACATCTATTTTTGTATGAAAACTCACACGATTGCTGAACCAATGCGCAAACTCCTTATGAACCTTCTTGTCTATCTCAGTAGCACTTCTTTGACTGCGCCTCATTTAGTTTTGAGTAAAACTTCGGAACTGCCTATTTGATTATTCGATATTAGATGTAAAAAAATATTAATAGTATAGATGAAACTACTTAAATGTAATAAAACTACATACTTTAGATAGTCGTCAACTATTGGACAGTTTGTTAAAACGTGTCTATGAGCCTGCAATTTTTCAGTTGGTGTTAGGGTGTAATAAGAAGATCCACCCACAGGTTTTCCAACTCTAGGAAATAATTCAGCTACACGTGAAGCAGTTTGGATATCATCAATAGGGTCGTCATCTACACGTCCAGGTTGATTCCATCTAGTCTCAATATTTTCTAGATATCTTGAACAAAATGTAAGAATCTCTTCAAAACGGTATCCTTCTGCAATAGACCCTTATGGTTTTGCCTTATTACGTACATACGATTTAAGTTTTCCCAAGTACCTATCATTGAACCACAATAACACTAGTTAAAAAAACTTTCTACTTTCTAATTAAGTTAGTAACATTAGAACAAAATCACATAGTTTACCTTTCAACAGGATACATCCATCGATAATGAACAGGACCTCCAAGTTTAACTTCTTCAACAAGGTGAACAACCAAGTGGACCATAACCGTGAAGAACGAGGGAGGAAATAACATTTCCATATGGCATAAAGTGAGGACAATTTGGTTTTGCAATTTTTCCATGTCTTCAATTTTCAATACCTTGGCACATAATTGTCTAAAGAATGAGCACAACTCAATCAATACTGCTGAAACCTCATGAGGTAATGTTGTGCGAATGGCTAATGGTAAAAGTTGTTCCATTAATATATGACAATCATGACTCTTCATCATTCCATTCACCTTGAGATTTACTAAGTCAATGCATCTAGAAATGTTGCTTGAATAACCATCAGGCACCCTAATATTCTTTAAAGTCATTAAAAAATTCCTTTTATTTTTACCTGTTAAACTAAAGGCAGCCGGAGAAATTTTACCATTTTCATCAGGCCAAAGATCAGGTCTTATGCCCATATTTTGAAGGTCTTCTCGAGCTTTATAATGGTCTTTACTCTTTTGCCTATCATGCAGTAGAGTAAATAGGACATTATCGCACACATTTTTCTCAATATGCATCGGATCAAGATTATGGCGTAGAAGATTATCTTTCCAATACGGAAGTTCAAAAAATATGCTTTTCTTTTTCCATTGTTGAGGATGACCTTTTGTAGGATCACATTGTGTACTATCACCTTCTATAGGTTGTTCCTCACGTGTTCTTTTTACTGATTTTTCTTTCACTGCCTTTTTACCAAAGATGACTTCAACATCTTTAACCTTTTCAAAAACTTCATGTCCAGATAATGTTCTCGGTGGACTCCGCATTTCTTGTTCACCATTAAAGCGGATCTTGTTCAATCTAAACCTGTGTCTCCGATCAAGGAAAAGACGATGACCCATAAAACACCATTTACGACTAGCTTTAAGACGGACAGGTGTAGTTTGAAAGTTACACGATGGGCAAGCAAGTCCTGTGTATGTGTTCCACCCAGAAAGTGAACCCAACCCTGGAAAGTCACTAATAGTCCACATCAAATTTGCATGCAACTTGAACATCTCTTTCTTGAAAGAATCGTATGTATCCACACCACTTATCCATAACTCCTTCAGGTCTTTGATTAATGGTTGTAAGTAGACATCAATATTATTTCCTGGTGCCTCTTTACCGGGAATTATCATTGACATTATAAATGATGTCTGCTTCATGCAAACCCATGGAGGAGTGTTATATGGTATGAGAACAACTGGCCAAATACTATTGTTTGTACTCATCACACCAAAAGGATTAAAACCATCACTAGCCAATGCAAGACGCACATTCCGTGGATCTGATGAAAACCAAGTATGTGTCAAGTCAAATTTCTTCCAAGCTTCTGAATCTCTAGGATGCCTCAACATTCCATCATTGTTAGTATCTGTTGCATGCCATCTCATATCCTCTGCCGTTTTTTATGACAAAAATAATCTCTGTAATCGAGGTTTTAATGGAAAATAACGAAGAACCTTGGCAGGAATTTTCTTTTTTTTCTTGTTAACAGATACATCCTCATTTGTTTTCCATTTTGAAGTGTTGCAATTTTTGCAAGTCTCCCTCTCCTCATCTTCTCCCCAATAAAGCATACAACCGTTTGGACATGCGGGTATCTTTACATAATTCAAACCAAGTTTTGTGATTGATTTCTTGGCTTCATAGAATGAACTTGGAATGTTTGCATATTCAAATGCATCTTTTATTAACTCTAAAATCATTGTCATTGCCTTCTCACTCAATCCACATAAACACTTTATATGGTACAACTTAACCAAAAAAGATAGTCTTGAATATCGTCTACACCCTTCATATAAAGGTTGTTCTCCTTCTCTAGCCAACTCATAATACTCCTTGGCTTCGTTTCTTTCCTGAGTTGAGCTTGGCATCACATAATCTTCTTGTTCAATCTCCAAATTTGACGCAGATGGTATTTCATTTGCATGATTCCCATAAACTCCAAATGCATCGTTGATCATGTTCTGAATAGGTTCTTCGACAATGTTAGTATATTCTACCATACTTGGAGTAGTACTAGGGGAGATAGTACTAGATCGTACAAAAGACTCTCCGTGATGGATCCACATGGTGTATCCCTGCGGAAATGGTGACCAACTTAAGTGGTCGAACATGTCACTCCTACTCTTTAATTTTCTGAAACCGCAACGTTTGCAAGGACATATTACTACGTCGTTTTCTTTTGCACCTTTAAATGCAAAATCAATAAATTCTTGTATCCCTTTTTGATACGCAATCGATGATTGTGGCTTAATAATCCATGACTTATCCATTTCTTCAAAAAAAAATTATATTTTCAGAATTCTAGTACTTACGAGAACATGTTATTTTGAATATAAACAATAGAAAAATAAAAGAGATGAGTTTTATTATTGGTTGTTTAATTTGTTTTTACACACTACATAAAAAGTTTATAGGTGAAGCCTTGTGATATCAATAGTTGGTAGAAATCATAGATTTATCAAATAGAAATCTTATATTTTTCAACAGCTCATATCCCTTTAAATCCAACAAAAACATTATTATTTACATTCTAGTCCAGAAGACACTTCATGTTTCAGATGCATGAAAATGTGTCATCAAGATTTAGAATTAAAATTTAAAAACTATGTATTTGGAGAATCATATAAGCACCATTTGTCATATTTCCATAATCATTTTTAGATAAAAATGGAAAGTTGTTAAGAACCATTTTTCCAGTATGTTTCCTACTTAATTCATTCTTACATGTCTCATTAATAGTTGCCCACGTTGCTCATTAATTAGTTTGACTCACGTGCCTAAATTAAACAATGTAATTACCCTTTTCATTTTACCCGAAAATAAAAAATAAAAGAATATTCTACTAGAGATTTAAAGAGTACCTTCAACTACATCATTTAAAGAGTTCAAAAGAGGTTGCAAGGTTGCAAGGATGGGAGAGCTACTCTTATTCAGGCTGTGACTACTGCCCTTCCTTACTATGTTATGCAAACTACTTTACTGCCTGTTCATACTTGTACCCTGCTGCCCTCAATCAGTTTTGAACACTGATTCGAAACTCTTTCAGCTACAATACAAAACTTTCGTACCCAAGAAGTACAGCTTTTCAGAAGCAAGACAGTTAGAACTCTAAGGCTTTGCTTTTCTGGCAAACTCTACCAAAGTAAGCATGCTTATTGGATTTATGCCGAGTCACTGATTATTGATGAATTTTAATGAAATGAAGTTTTTATTTTATGTATGAGAAACTACAGTTTCTGTATTTAGCTTGTGAAAATGCTGTTAATTTTGGGGGGTGTAAGACTGTTGTTATACCCCAAAATTTGCCCTCCCATATTCCTCAAGAAATTGCCAAGCCAAGTCACAAAATTCCCCAAGGGTTGTGCAGGTCAACTGTCTCCTATACAGTCAAAACTAGGGTTTGTGTGCTGATCAAGAAAATGGAGTGTTCAAAGGCCCAATCAAGTCTCATATGCTTACAAACATGGTCAAGTATCCTCATATCAAGTTTCAAGGCATTCAGCTCAAAATTGCACAGTCAAAACCCTAAATTGCACTACAGTCAACTGTAGGGGCAAAATGGTCATTTGGCAGTCAAAAGTTCAAATTTTTGGTCAACATATCATTTTGAAGCCACAAACATCATTTGATCAATGCTTGATCATGATTCTCAAAATTTGGCTCAGAAATTATCAAAGATGCAAAAGTTGCTATATTTGGACAGCTGAAAAAGTCAACTGAAATTGACCAGGGCATAACTTTCACATGGATTATCAGAAAAATTCCATCCAAAGCTCATTTTGAAGAGAAAGACATTTCCTACAACTCATCTTCATACTTCAAGTCCAAGAAATGCTCTCACAAAAAGTTATCAATTTCAACATTATAGGTCATTTTCAAAAGTCAACAAAAAGGGACTTTAAGTCAAAGGCCATAACTTGAGATTGGTAAATCAAAATGACATGGGACCAAAGGCATTGGTTAAAGGACTCAAAGACCTTTCCAAAATGTCCAAGAACATGAGAAAAGCTTAAAATTGGAGCAAGTTATGCCTTGTAGAAGTTGGGAAATTTTTGAGAAATGGCAAAAGTCAACTATCCTTGAAACTTCAATTTTTGACAAAAGGGCCCACTTTCTTCCACTTGATTCAGCCTTTTCATGCCACACACGTGTCCCATGATTAATTTCAAGACCAAATATTGATTTTTCTATTTTATTTAATTTTTGATAATTTAATTCATTTTAAATCTTTAAAAATTCAAATAAAATTCAAAAGTCAATGAAATAGTGTCATTTGAATTGGGATAGCTTCCATGTATCATGTGCCAGCTCACAAACTTATGCTAGGGTTAAATTGCACACTAAGTCTTGGTCTTGGCTTAAAAGAAGGAAAAAGTGGTTAATGGTGAAAACCCTAGGACTAGTTCTTTCATGAGCATGAATTAAGGCCAACTAACAAGCTAATTCTCTTCCATCATAAGCATTGAGTCAAACCCTAACCATAACACACCAAATGCTGCGCATAAGAATACTATACAAACTTGAAAAATTGTCCATAAACTAAAGAACGGAAAAGCATTCAAGAGTGAGTTTTAAGCCTTAAGACTGATTCTAATAGCTTCCAAAAACTCTCCTGATCACATTCCAATCACAAACAAGAACCAAAACGCCCTGAATCGGTATCAAGAACTCAGACTGTACCTCGAAACTTTTGAAATCGCATATCTCAAATCATACATCTTTTTGCATTTTGATTGATGAATTCTTGTTCATATTGGAGTTTCCAAGCTAATCATTACCTTTAATTGCGTTTTTATTAACCATACGAGATTATGCCATGTTTGGATATTAGGGTTTGCAGGTTTTGAAATTGGGGTTTTTGCAATCAAGAAAAATTAGAGGCTAGGACTAAGACCACTAAGCTCAACGCGTCTGGACGATGAGAATGGTGTATTCGCGATGAATTTATGACCAATAGATTCCTATTCGCTATTTTTTGATAGGGCCTCTATGGCAACGGGTTAAAACCGTTGCTTTCTGTTTTTATGTTTCAGAAAATAAAAGAGAGAACGAAGAAGAAGGACTCGTGGCATGCAGGGATTGGTGGCATTTGAATTTCGCGCGCCCTCCACTAACGTATCTGTTTTTTCTTTTTATTATTTATTTGCCATATTATGTTAACGCGCGTGATGTAGCTCAGTTGGCAAGTGAAGGGACTATTAATCTCCAAGACCTGGGTTCAAGTCCCAGGTCTGTGCAATTCCTCATATTATTTTTCAATACAAAATCATGTGCAACGCTAACATCCAGGACATACCATACACCTCAAAGCCTGATTGTCCACGCGTCCATCCCATTCAATTCAAAGGCAAGGATTCAAGGAGCACAATAAACTCCAGTCAACGCTGAAGCAAGCTAGCAAAAAGTCAGCAAGGCCATAACACAAATGGGCCTGAAATGCTAAGGCCTTACCTCCAAATTGGGGCTACCCCCCCCTTGGTTTGCCTTCTCTTTCTTTCTATTTTATTTCTTTTCAAATTATTATTTGCTTTATTAGTTTAATTAATTTATTTTTTTTAACAAAATACAAAAACATCATAAAAATCAGAAAAAGGATAAAAAATATAAAAAATATTTATTTTATTTATTTTCTTGTAAATAATTAACATGTAAATAAATTTAGTCAAATAGGTTTTAACTTTAATTCTTTCTTCCATAAAAAAATCCAAAAATATAGCATTAGGTTAATGACTTTTTTATTCCTTTTAACTTTCCTTGTTTTTTGCCATAATATTAGTAATTTTCATAATTAAACTTGTAAACTAATTAGGGTTGCATTTAGGTTAGATTTTAATACTTTCTTAATAACTAAAAATCCAAAAATATAGCATTAGGTTTAATGACTTTTTATACCTTTTAAATTTTCCTTTTTTTATCACAATATTATTTATTTATTTATTTTATTTTTATAATTAAATGTACATAAGTAAAAATTAGGGTTTAATTTAGATTAATATAACATTTTCACAATAACTAAAAAACATTAGAATTAGGATTTGCATTTCAAATTTCATTCTAAAAAGTTCTTTTTTCTTTTAAATCTTAAAAAATACGAAAATACCAAAAACATTCTTTTTTTTAATTCTAATTCCTCATTAAATTTAATTTTTTGCAAAAGGGTCCAACGCCCATTGTCTTAATTATTTTATTTCGCACATTTACTTTATCGCTTATTATTCATTATGTACATGTCCCAAAGCCTTGTAACAATTTATACTTTTCGCACTTTTATTTGCTTTATTTACTTTCCGTCAAATCGGGTTCGGTTTAATTTTGGCGATGTGGACCCGCGCCATTTGTAATAGTTTAGATTTATTTTCCCGCAAATATTTTAACTGTTAACAAAAAAAAGCATGCAAGAATGAATGTCTTAATTAAAATCAAGCGTAGAACATAACAAACATGACAAGACAAATAACTGAAACATGACGCACAATTCGCACACACCACCCCTAGGGTACGCCTCACCTGTTGCCTTTCGAAAGGTGGTCGTCGAGTAGAGGACGTCTTAGTAAGTCCTCATGATCCGGGAACCTGGCATGAGGGTAGCTTCTAAGGTGTCTTCCCATTACTCCGGTGATCACCATGTCCCTACAAACTCGAATTGACCCGAACACCTCCAACGGTGGTGCTACCTACCTCTCAATGGTGGGATGGCACTACTTTAAAGGACATTTACACAGACGAATTCCTTAGGGTAGGTAGGTTCTCATGGATACTTGCTCTAATTTCAAACAAATCAAAATACTTTTCACACCAACACACTTTCAAAAGCTTTCAAAACAAACTTTTCAAACACTCTGATGTACGAGTCGAACTGAAATTTTTCAAAGAAACTTTTTAAAACCCACATTGAAAAGCAAACAAACAATTTTGAAAACACATTGAGCAAGTATCTAAGAGCCCATGGATAACCATGGATAGAAAGGGTGCTAACACCTTCCCTTTCTATAATCTACCTCCCGAACCGAGAGCAATCTCTATAAGGAATTTTTCTGTGCTTTTGTCCTTTCCATTTGGAGAAAATAAAAGACGGTGGCGACTCTTGCTTACCGCGACATTTCGCGAACCAGCTTTAAAACAGTCAGTTCCAGATCCACCGATCCCAGAACTGGCGACTCTGCTGGGGATCAAACTTAAAGTGAGGTGTACCTTAGGGCTAGCTCATAACTATGTTTTCAATTGTCTTCTTTGCTTGCTTTATTATTGTGGGTTGCTTGGGAGTTCTATA